CAGGCGATTAGGTTTCAGACAGCTGACAAAAGACCAGGACACAAAGGAATGGAAAGGGAAGAAAAACAAAAACATGTTGTATGCAGGAGGGGAACGGCACTGGCAGGAGGAGGGTGTGAAAAAAACACACTGTTAAAGTCAGAGGAGTAAAAGGGTCTCTCTAGTGAGGGATCATTTTAACAGAAAAAAAGGAAATGTGTTCTCAAAACAGCTCTTAAGTCTTTTTTTCCCCATAGTTCAGCAAACAGATTTGAAACCAACTTGACTGCAGTATTAGGGAACATGTTACAGCGCATCCGAGCATCAATCAGGTGTTCAACTTACTTTATGTAACTGTTTTTTTACCCAGGGACTGTGCTTTTTCAGAAGCTGCTATGCTGTGATGTACACAACTTACAGTGACCCCAAAGTATTTGGACATTTGTGCCATGCTTAAAATGTACTAAAGAGGAATTAGGAAGGAATCTGAGGAGTTTAATGCATACATTCCTTCTTCCGTCTTCCATGCACCCAACCTTTACAATACTTCTTAAACTTTAAAAAGGTTCTTCACACTCACTTGTTCCACTTGTAAAATGGTTCTTTAAAGAATCATCCACTGAAAGGTTCTTTGGGGAACAAAAAGTAGTTGTTCTATTTGCTGTTCATCGCACCAAATAACCTTGTTTAATACATATTTTTCAGAATGTCTGGGTTTATATGCTGTGATGTATCTGCCACTATAATCAAGAACACCCATAACTCATCACTGTCTGGCATTATATAAGCTGCTGAGCAGAGCAAAGCCTGCCAAAAGGAGGCTTCCTTCCATACTTGTGTCAAACCTTAATTCTGAAAAGTTGGTACAGAATGTGAAATGCTAATAAAAACAGAAAGCAGTGATTAAAAAACTCACTCACTAGTTGAAAACAATACTTTTGATGTTTTACCTGATGAACTTGCCAGAAGCATGTTTACTAATGTGTTACATCACTTTTCCTTATAACAACACCTTATAACTACTTGGGGGGCAAAAGACACCAACTGATCTACTTTTAAAAGTTTTTAGCTGTGTAACTATTCGGGTCATTTGTTGTTGTATTTTGTACTTTATAATGCATGCATGTTTCAATGGGAGGCAGGTCTGGACTGTAGGCAGGCCAGTCTAGCATCTTCACTCTCTGATTACGCAGCCATGCTGTTGCAACATGTGCAGAATGTGGCTTGCCATTGTAACATTGAAATAAGCATGGATGCTCCTGAAGAAGACGGCGTCTAAAAGGCACCATATGTTGCTCCAGAATGTGTTTGAAATGGGTGGTAGACTTTGAAAACAAAGTTAGCTTTGGGAGTGTAGCAACAAACTTTTTGCTTTCCTCCCTATTTCTGCATTTCTCTGCTGCACTTATATATTCGTGTCATCATATAAGGAATGGAATAGTCCATTAGCAAATGACTGGGGGGTGTGGGCTGAACTGAAATTACAGAAAATAACCATTACAATTGCAAATAATGTCTAATTTAGAAATGCATTTATATTTCTGAACAGAATTTTTAACATGAACTTGTACAATATATCTAATTTTAATTTCCACGTGGTCTTTGGTCTGGGGGGCCCTCAGTGGCTGTTTATCTCAGCTTAGTGCAATGACCACCCCTGGGTAAGTCAAACAAAACCGTTTTTGAGTGCAAGTAGAATGCTTCTGAACCCACCAGACTGTGCTATCAGAACTGCCTGTTTTATGTAATCTTATACCACATCTTTTCCACCCTAGAAATAATTATATTTTCTGCTATGATCTCTATCTTCTAACTATCAGATTGGGGCTTCCCTTCTACACTCCTCTCACAGACAACCATAGAAAAGTTCCTGCTCATCAACTCGTCCAAAGCTGTTCAAATTGCCTCCATTTCATGTTCACACATGAAAACGGAGATCATCCCACCATCCATCTTTTCTCTTTTTCTCCCTGACACTATTCATTCAAAAGAAAATAGAGGGCCTGAGGTGCTATTTGAAAAACAGGTCTAAAAAGCCTTTAATTTACCACGTATTTAAAAATACTCCTGTATGCTGCAGCCGTGACATTTATGCAGGGGCATCCGGCAGCATGTTCAAATATGAAGAGCTGCAGGGAGGTTACAGTGAATAAACACACTTTAATGGACCACGGTCATCATTATCACCTTATGTAACAGCACTTTCAAGGTGCTGTGCAGTGCAAGGTGAGCTCAAGATGAGTCGCAAGGCATGTAGAGTTGTATGCTAAAGTTTGGCCAAATTACACATTTCGTTGATTTAAGTGAAAAGACATAAACACAATCTGTAGTAAACTATTTCAAAAGAAATCTTTAAAATATTCTTGTTTTAGGACTTTTTAGCCACTCTTCCTTGGAGAATCCCTCTAGTTTTGTGATATTCTTGGGCTGTTTTGCATGCACAGCATCGTCAAACAGCCCATATTATAGAAAAACAAGTTTCTCTTTTTTGCTATGAATTTGATATACAATGTAAACAGTGTTAAAGTTTTAATACATGCCATTCACTCCCCAGTGTTCTTGTGATGTCACAAAAAAATTCATTTACATACATCTGCCTATTCAAACTACAGCGGTTTAGCCCCGTCCACTTGCGTTGAGATTAGAAAGAGTGTTTTTGCTCAGAGTGGTCAGCCAATCAAAGAAAATTGTCATTTACATATATCAGTTGAAACTGTTTCACAGGTCTGGTAAAAATAGATGATTATCAGAGGCTGGAAGATGATGGATGGTTATCAGCACTGTTTAATTTGTTTACTGTTTTATTTGTGTTGCTGATTGTTGCATCAGCATTTAAAACTGAACCTTCTAACCCAGTGATCATATCCCACTACTGGGACTGTACTATCCAGGGACGAGCCACAGCAAATACCACTGATGGGGCTATACTTGTGAGAAAGTTAAAAGCACAGTGACAACAACCCATTAAATTGCAAGGGATTAAGAAAGATTGGAACATGGTCATGTAAAAATGAACTAGGACTGTTTCTGGTACATAAAACCTCACAAACTTTATAAAAGGACCTCAGGGGGAAAGATAAAATGTAAGAAATGGGCTTTTTAAGATCGACCCACAAATTTTTAATGATATTCAGTCAGCTGACTGTGACAGCTGACCCTAAGGGACTGTGAAGGCCATTCCAAAAGCTTTGGCTTGCGTTTCTTGAAGTAGTTCATAGTGCATTTCGTGGTACATCTTGGATTATTGTCTGGTTGTAGAAGCCGGCCTCTTTCCAGCTTCAGTTTCTTGCTGACTGTCACATTTGCTGACATTCAGTGGAATCCATTCCTCCATCCACACGTGCAGTGTTTCCTACATCACTGGCTGCCACACAACCCTAAAGCATAAAACATAAAACACCCATCCTTAACAGTTTCTTTAATCTAATTCTGCTCCTTTTTTCTGTGATTGTGGCCAAAAGGTTCCAGTTTTACTTTGCAACAATTCACATAACTTGTTCCAGAATGACTCTGGCTTATCTAGATGTTGTTTCACATACTTGTGATAAGGTTACACACAAGTGTTCATTCTGATGAGTCTTGCACGCAAATCATATATATATATTCACAATCAAATACCAAATAAATTCTAAATTTAGCATAACAATTTCAATGAAAAGTAGATTTTTTTAAAATTTTAACATAAATTTCAGAATTTCTCAGTATTTGATGTGTCCTCCTTTTGCTTTTACGACAGCGTGTACTCAGTGCACTTGGCATGGACTCTACATGTTTGTGCAAAAGACTCTGATCAGTAGATAAAATCCACCTGAGAGTAGTCTGAATATGAGCTTCAGCAGAAAAGATAAACCTAAAATAATCTGATCCTTTTTGTACAAAGCCACAACATGCTCAGTGTTACAAATTTGCATTTAAATTTGAATGGTTGCTCAAAAACAGTGCAGAATCTTGAATATTTTTCATCTTTCTTTTACATTTTCATAACTGTTCTTTTTTTTATATTTTTCGAAATTCTATAACTTTCTGTTGTTTATTTCCAGATTTAAAGAAAACAGACTTTCAGTGTAGATTCAGACTTTTGGACCCCATATATAGTATATAGTATGGTACACATAGATGATGTACAGTGTTCTTAACTAGGTCTCTGACTTATAACTTCCATTAATTGAGAATAAACTTAATGACCGTATTATAAATACAACAAATGTCCATCATTTTAGTTTAAGGCCACTTATTTCAATACAATAAACATCATTCACTTTGTAATTTTCTCATACCATCTTGAATTACTGGCATAAAATGTTTATAAACATTCAAGCATTCATTTGTAAATATGTTTTTCACACTTAAATATGTTAAAAACAGTTCTTGGCAGATTCTAGTGTAGAATTTCAATTTTTTTCTGAGTTTAACCCATATCGTATTAAATGAGGCATAACTTTTGCACAGATCATATATTAGTCCTCCTCAAAATGTTAAATTCTGCAAATAAACAATAATTGTGCATTAAAATGTATAGATGTCTCCACTTATTTTCACTTAGAAAATCAAAAAAACATGTAATTTGACCAGTGGAGCTAGAACTTTTGCAGACAACTGTATGTATGCTATGAAGTCCCTACACAGAACCAAATCTTCACAGTGCAATATTCATTTTTTGCATCCTCAACTGTCTTTACTTGACGGAAGAACTTATCAAATCTTTTCGAGGGCATCAGCTTTCTATGACTGCTGTCTGGTTTGTGGTGCTGTCTTCATGTCTTAACACACTCCCTCATCAAAGCATGTGGAAGTTTCTTTATGCAGCTTATCTAGAAGGAATAGTGTCTTCTTGAAAAAGTGCCCCCCCTTTAGGGTTACAGCATGAGTAAACAAATGATGGTTGATGGTAAGTCAGGGTGGGAGCATGCCTGCAAGTCTGCACTTGAAACAGAAAGCATAATATCTTTGGATGAGTTGATGGGCAGGGCCACTGTGGTGCAGGGGTGTGTGTTGAGGCCGGCTGTGAGAGCCAGCTGAGGGGTTGGCCTCAGTCTCGCAGTGTGTATATAGAGCATGGAAGGGCATCACTGTGCACATTCCTCTGTAGCTCTCACTAACGGTCAGGAGAAGAGCTTCAGCTCAGCTGAAAGATGGGCAAGCAGAAGATTTTCCTGGATAAGCTATCCCATAGCTTGCAGATTCGTAGCAAGCTGCTACGTCAAGGACTTGCTGAGTGCTTGGGCACCCTCATCCTGGTGGTAAGTGGCCACCTGTTCTTTTGGTTCTATGGTTTTTTTATCACTTGGGCTAAGAAATTTTTTGTTATGCTAAAGCCACTTTTAAACTGTATCCATGCATTAAATATAGTGATTTAGAGCTCAGCAACGTAGAAAGTGTGAAGAAAGTGGAAGCCAAATGGATTCCCTGAGATCCTACATGGATCTACCCTTTCAAAAAAGGTTCCAGAGAAGAACCACGTTTGGTTCCCTAAAGAGCCATGTTTGAAAATGAGATTTTTAAGAGTGAAGAACCTTTTAAAGGTTTAAAAAAAACTTTTAACTTACCAAATTGAGAGTTCTTCTTAGAATCTTTCCATTAGGTGGAAGTCTAAAAAAGGTTCTTCAAAGTTCTAAATTTCATTTAAAAAATGGTTCTCTAAAAAACATTCGATTTTTAGGGGACAAAAAGTGGTTCTTCCATGGCAAAGAAGCTGTTTGGGACCCTTATTTTAAAGAGTCACAGATCCGTACACTCTTAACATGGTTTCCAAGCGGTTATTGGCTTTGATTTACGGTTCTAGGAAAAACCTAATTGGTATTGGGCCATAACATTAAGTGCAAGTTCTTTAAGCTTCAAGAAAGCCTCCTCAAATTTATACATTTGGACACATCCTTAAAGAACCATCCAAGTCTCTTCAGAGAACCAAAAGTGGTTCTTTTATGGCAGCCGAAGAAATTTTTGTGTCACTTTTATTTTTAATTGCTTGATATTGTCAGATAAATACAGTGTATGTGAGCAAGTGAGGGTTGTTTTCACAAGTAAACATTAAACACAAATGTTGAATGCAGAAGATAGATTTGCCTAAAAATGAAGAGCGAATGAGTGATTCTAGGTTTTGGATGTGTTACTTGAGAATGAAATCAGCCTGCAATTTGCCTTTTAGCCCTTAAAACGTTAGCTGATGAAGAGAGCATCCACTTCAGCCTGTCCACTGTACAGCTGCTTCAGAGCTCATATACCTGATCCACTGTTAATCTATTCAAATGCAGAACGGTTGTCAATATTGACAGCATCATGGTTAAAAATTAAATTACAGAGGATACTGCTCCTCATGAATTAATTTTACACCTCATTTTATACCTCATGAATTAATTTTTTTTTTTTTTTTTTCGAGATTGAAGCTGTATCTGCAGCTATGCACACGCAATAAATCTGTATACAGTGTGACAGCATGAGCAGTGATGGAGCTCTAACTTGAATGGAGCAGCGATAGAATCTCATGGTGCTCTTTCAGATGTATAAATACAGACTCTTGGCGTGCCTCCTTAAAAACAAACAGAAACCACCCCTCAGCTTTCGATCCTTTCGCACACTGTTACGACTGGAAGGCTCTAGATAAGAAACAAGCTCACTAATGACATGGAGTGCGAGTGTTATTGCCTGCACATGCCCTCCTGTTTCCCATCTACTGGGACTGTGAATACAATAATGCAGTTCTAAATTGTACAACAAGGTTCCCCTTTAGCAAACTTCCCTTTCTTGATGCACAGTGGTAGTGGATAGGAACTGTACAGTAGTGCAAGCAGTATGTGGTCTTTGAAAATCTTGCCTTTTTATGTTCTCTTAAAAATAAAGGTTCCGATGGTGCAGATTATGGTCAACATATGGTTCTAGGAAAAGAAAATTCAGAATATCTGCTAAATCTGTACAGTTAAATGGTTGAGATGTAAACAAAGTCATTCAGAGTGGTTGGTGTGAGAGAGGGTTCATTGTAGAGTAAATTACTGATTCAGATTTGTGTTCATACCCAGGGGTCATGATGTCTACAGTGCAGATATAGCCACTTTATTTGCTATCCAAAACCACAAGTGAACCTATATGTTTCTTCTGAGATTTTATATGCAATGTTGATAATGTTGATAAAATAGGGGCAGATCTAAAAAGTTTGCTTTGGGGACTATTTTGCCTCACAGCGCTCTACATGTACCCCATCTGCCATCATTGGATTTTCACATTTTAGCCCAAAAACTCATCTAAAAACTATCATAAAACAATGTCTCAATAATCATTTTGTGTAAAAATGTTCTGTGATGTAGCTTTTAAAGGCTTCAGACATCTGGTTCCTATCACCATCACTGTAAACAGTTCTGACAAAAAGTTTCTCTGGAACAGAGCATTTCACATCAAACCACTCTAAATTGCAGAATTTTTACCAAAATCTGTGGAATTCTCCTATAATTGGCATAGACCCTTTAAATTATGTGGAGGTTCTTTAAAGATCCATCCTTTCAAAATGTTTTTAGGGAATGACATTGGACTAAAGAATCTCATTTGGATCCTTTATTTTTAAGTGTCTAATACACCAAATCATTTACTGTATGTTTAAGCCATATCAGCTTTGTGCTTTGACACAGCAGCAAATGGGTTCTAATCAATCACTATACAATAAGACACACGGCTGCACACTCACTGAGCCAGCGACATGCGTATGTGCACAAATGGGAGTGTCACCTACACAGTCACAGGTGGTTTTCTGGACACAGGTTAAGCCTAGTCTTGGAACAAATTGCAACATTAATCTTGACTCTGCAGTGACTAGAGGTTAATCTGCATCCGGGACACTGTAGGCGTCTCTGACAGAACATTCCTGAAAGGCATTTACGCTCATTTCTCCTTGGTATATTGGTGTCAACTTTATTGAGTGTCATGTATGGTGGAGAGCAGAGCTAAAGGAATGTGTGGTACTGGGCGGTGCCAAAATAGGTGGAGTGAGGAATGACATGAAATATGAGTCTGGGGCCAAAACCTAGGCTGTAGGAGGCTTTTCAGGACAGTTTTCAAACACTATCCAACCTGGATATTTTGGAGATAAGTAATTATATTAAAAAAAACACAATGACAAAGAATGAGCTTCAAACCATTTGTATAGATGGCACAGTATGCAGCAACGAAAGCTTATTGATAAATATATACAAATTATTGATAAAAGTGTGCAAATGTTTTTTTGTTAAAATTGAAATAAGTAGCATTACTGAGGCAGAAAAAACAACTAAAAATAGAAAAAAACTAAAATACAGTGAATGCACTTGAGTCACCCTGGAAAGCATGAAATACTAATACTGATGAAGATATGATGACCATAGTAGATTATTCACTTATATCCTCGTAAGATGCGTCCTTCAAGTTTTGACTGAGTTCTCTCTGAATAATTTTTCCACGTGTTCTTAATCATCAGATTCCAAAAGTCCAAAGCACCGGCAATGTTCCAAAATATTTTCATGCATACTTTTCGCATGCAAAAAAATGTGTAATTGCATGCATCCACCAGAGAGGTCTCCAAATCCCCAAATCTTACATAGTGCAGCTTTAAGAAAGCGAACTGCTGTCTTACTTCAAATAGCATTGTCCTGGTGTGGCAGCTGTTGTAGCAGGTTTTTCCAAACAGAGTGGTACACAGACAGTCCCAGTTTACATGATTGCATTTGTGTAACTCCTGAATTTGTATCAACGTATGTGGTCCCATTGCTTTCTCAATGACTTCTGGAGGACCAAAAGAAAAACTGAGGAATGATTAATTGAGCAGTCATGATTCTGTCATTCTACTAAATAACTGCAAAAAGCAATGATGCAACACATCAGGGTGCCATAAATTATGGCACCACACCCTATGCCTTGGTTACAGGTGTTTTGCAGTCCTATATCAGTGGAACATTATGCAACCTATATCATTGGGACATTGCATTGCACTGTGGGAGCATAATTTATTGACTTCTTGAGTACAGCATGTTTTCTCCCACCACACAAGATCAGTACTGGAAGGGCTAAGAAATTCAAGCTTGTGCGAATTTAGGACAAATTAAAAAATGTTAGGATACTACAACAATGTACAGCTTTTATGATTAGAGACATTTGCCAAAAAATAAACAACATAACAGACCCAGCAGCATTGATTCCAACTAAACATTTGAAGTCAAATGAAGTTTTTGATCAACAGCTGAACTAAAAGTTCAAGGCATTAAAAATATTACTCACTGAAAGACATACATAAGTAGGCCCAAAATTAAAGTCAAAAGGGCTTTTGTGGTAGTTGTTTGTCAACAGCCCCCGAGATTAGCAGCATTTACTGCCATTACAAGTTGAGGTGGTTCAGAAAGGTGAAAGAGTGCTCACACTGCCATCAAACTCCTCTGCAGTTCCAATGAACAGTCTCTCTTTGTTTGTGCGCTGGTGTCCACAATCGTCTACTCAAATGTGGCAATTAAGGCGTCATCCATGGCCTAACCAAGGTGGCTTATCTGAGGAAGGTAATTTCTGCTAGTGAAAGTGGGCATTGTGCAGATTATATATACAAAATTAATAGATTTATTTCCACATATCTCCATAATCCTGCGCTTACTGGCATGCAGTAAAGGCACATGAAATATGTAGCAAAGTGTTTGGCCCTGGCAACATTCCTCAAGAGGTGTTTCTTCACATTTGAGCAATTAAAGGATTTGTCTGGAGCTGAAACATGAACCAGTTAATTCCATTTGACACCAAAGGTATCTGAAGTGACATTCAATACACACAATCGAAACAATTTAGTTTTTTAACAGGGCTTAAGTGTTTATTGTCATAGTTTCCATTGGGGGCAGGGTGGGGTGGGGTGGGGGCAGGGTGGGGAGCATGTTTCCACTACTTTTTAAAATTCAGCTTTTGTGTCTGTTTTTGGGCAGAAATAGGGCAGTACACGCACAATAATATCGGAACCATATCGTCAGATGAGTTTTTGTTGGTAATCTAGGTTCTACAAGTTTAAAGTTTGATTAATTATACCATGTGGATAATTTTTGTTAACAAAAATACAAGCCTAAAATGAGCCCAATGTAAATGTCTATGTTAGCTAGCTAGCTCACTTAGCTTTTTTGTTTTGTTAGGGGGGGGGGGGGGGGGGCATTAATCTGTGGCATTAAAACTGAACAATTAGAGCATGTGTTCAAAGTAATGCTCAATCTACCACATTATAAAGCAGTTTCAGAAATGTCACACTTTTGCAGTTCCTCTATGCCTTGCAATTGTTTACCACCACCTGAGCATGAAAATGAGAAAATGCTCTCAGCTTCCAGTTAAAACCTCTTCCTGCTTCACTGCTACAGTCATTGGATGCTACATTGTCTAAACCAAGCTGGACAAACCTTCCTCTATCTTCCTCCCATAATGGACACAGTGTCAGAATAGCACTTCCTGTTGTGAAATGTGGCCGATAAGTACCTTGTCTATTGATAAACACATGAAGCACAAATGAGGTCCAGCATGTGTTACAACATGTAAAGTTTGGGGTGAAGTAAATCTGATCCCGAGAACCTAAAGAATGGAACGCTTTGTTCAGCCCATAAGATCTACAGCTCTATACCTGCTGTTTAAGAGGGAACATTCTGTTCTTTGGTTCAAACTTGGCTCAAACAAACTCCATGGACCACCTTGTTTCCCCTAGGTCTGATACAAGCCAGAAGAAGAATCTGGCATACTACTTCAAGCTCTTGGAAGCTGGAGAACCTAAAGTGGTTTGCCAGAGTTGTCAAAAGCTTCTCAGCTAAAGATGAGACAAGTGACTCACTTCAGGTTAAACTCACAAAAGTAGAGAAAGTGGCTTGATGAGTAAGCCCTGAAGGTCGACTGTTACTCCCGACAAACAAGTATTTATCTTTTTTCTCACTTGTTGGAAATAAAGAGTTGTAGTATGTAAACATTGCTTAATCCATTAAAATCCATACTACATACTAAGGCTTATTATTCAGTAACTACAGGGACTCTTAAGTTATAGAAGTGTGTAATAAGACTTTGGGCCCACCGGCGGCCCCATGGCCATGTAAGGGGTTAAGATTAAAGGCAGACCATTCACTCCCCGGCCCAAACAGTCCATATATGGACACTAAGTTGCATTTTAAATTAACTGTTGTTGTGATGTTGTCTACCTACTCAGCCTACCAGCTTAGCCCCGCCCATTCATGCTGAAGTTATAAGGACTGTTTCAGCTTGGACTGTTTTTGAATGAGGCACAATACAGGGCAGCCAAACAGAACAGAGGTCATGTATATGTGTCCATCATCAATGTTGCATAACAAAAGCTGCCTGTGTAATTCTATATAAATATAGAGACATTGGAAAATGTACATTTTTACATCACCATTTTTCACACCCCTGTATGACTGTTTTTGGTACATAAACCCACACAAATATCATAAGTGAATCTCTTAGGAGGCAAGAAGGAAACAAAAGAAAAATGTAGGATATGGGCGCATTGAAATAAACATAGATGTAATAGTATGATTTCTAATTATATAACTAGAATTATAATTTATTATGCAAATGGTTTTGCCATGCATAATAACTGCATATCTCCATTCAAGAATAGCAACTAATTCAGCTATAGGAGTAGCAGGAAGGGTCACTTCCAGAGGTTTTATCAGCCATATCAGCCATGTGGACCTTCTCTCTGTTGACATTCTTCCTCTACAGGTTTTGTTCGTTGCATTCCTGTGCATATATAACATAGCATTATCCAACTATGAAACACATTATTGTGGGTCTGGATGATATATATAGCCAAATATAGCCTTTCTAAATGCAGCGTATGTGCAGTGGAGCTCATGCTGTTTTGTCTGGTTTTGTCTTTCTTCTGTCTGCAGATGTTTGGCTGTGGTTCAGTGGCTCAGTTCAAGCTTAGCGATGAAAACCATGGCATCTTCCTCGGTGTGAACTTAGCGTTCGGATTTGCGGCCACTCTTGGAATCCTGGTGTGCGGCCAGGTCTCAGGTACCCAAACCCTGCTAAAATTGAACACTAAGCTGTATAAGGCATGGTCTTTTTCTTATTGCTTCTGGAATGTTTTTATCATTCGCTTTGATAACTTTTGCCAACCCCGCAGGAGGTCATCTAAACCCAGCTGTCACCTTTGCCCTCTGCCTCCTCGGGAGGGAAAAATGGAGGAAGTTCCCTGTATACTTTCTCTTCCAGACCCTTGGTGCCTTTTTGGGTGCTGGTATCATCTTTGGCATGTACCATGGCAAGTATCAGGAAAAGAATCTTGCAAAATAGGAGTTTGTTCTTAGACAGTTTTGTTTATGAAGTGTTGTTTTTAATTTATTTTATCCTATTTTTAAAGATGCTCTGGTGAAATACGAACAGGTTCATAATAAATTACCTGTTGGAATTTTCGCTACCTACCCCGGCGAGCACCTGAGTATCGTCAATGGATTTTTTGATCAGGTTAGTGATTGCAACAATGTAGCCCCTTGTATCATCAGTTATTACAGAGCTACAAATGAAATGATGTCAGAGTAAGGGGAGCACAGTGTCCTCCCTTTTCAGTTAGAAGTTTTGGATCTGTAGTAGAAATGAATGGAATGTTTACAGCTGTCTCGTTCTTTGTGTGGAAAGTGCTGAACATATAACTGGCTGCAGAGTTCAGACCTGGCAATTAGTCTAGCTCTGCTCTGGCTGCCTGGTACATAGCTCAACTCAGTTCCACCTTGTTTTTTTTTTCACTTGTATCTTTTTTTTTATTTCCCTGAGAATGGCAGGGCAATCAAAAAAAAAAAGATACAAGTGAAAATAGGTAGACACATACAACTTTGCAACTGTGCAACTTTGGCTCACGGACTGTTTATTATTTTTCTTTTGCAGCTGATCGGCACAGCTGCACTGATCGTTTGTGTTCTGGCCATTGTGGACCCCTTCAACAACCCCATCCCACAAGGACTTGAGGCTTTCACTGTGGGGTTCACTGTACTTGTCATTGGTCTATCCATGGGCTTCAACTCTGGTTATGCTGTAAACCCAGCCAGAGACCTGGGACCTCGCCTTTTCACTGCCATTGCAGGCTGGGGCCACGAAGTCTTCGTGTAAGTCAATTTATACAAAGCTTAGTTTTTTCATTGTGATGAATCATTTTCATTGTCATGTTTTTTTTTCAAAAGTTCATGTTTTACGATGAAAGACGGTCTGTGTGTGGTAAGCTGCAGCATGGCTTTATCTGTTTAGCAAGAGCGACCATAGCATAAAAACGGAAGTCGCCTAGCGCTGCTGTATAATGGACTGATATAGGACATGGACTACACACAGATTATGAGACACACATGTTTTCCTTTTGTGCATCTTAAAGCCATAGACAGTGCGTTTTCTGGCATTACAAATTGTCCAGCTTGATAGCCATTGCAATAGAGGCAATCGATGAGCGATTCCTGATGCTATCAAGAATTGGATCGAGCCTACCACCCAGAATTCCTTTTCAGTTGAATCTTTTGGATAATTAAGCTGAGCTTGCCTTAAACCATATGTTGAAGGAATGGTCCGAACTCCATGAAGAACCATCCATTGAAAAGTTCTTTAGGAAAACAAAAAAAACTCCAAAGAACCCTTTATGGCATCTATACTTTAAACAATATAGTGCTAACAAGTGAAACTGTTTTTTTTCCACAGTAAAGGGAACTGCTGGTTCCTGGTGCCCATCTTTGCCCCGTTCCTGGGTACCATCGTTGGAGTCATTGTGTACCAGCTGATGGTGGGCTGGCATGTGGAGGGCGAGGTGCGGGACAAAAAGAAGGCAACCGAGGACAATGTGAAACTGAATGATATGAATGATGTCTCGGCTCCCTAAGCTGTGCCAACCAATTCTACCAGTGCTTTCCTCAGTAAGCTCTACAGAATGATACCTGCCTTTGACCATCTCATAAAGAATTCAGATATCAAATGCAGCTCCTGAAACAGCTGCAAATAAATGAGTAAACAAAGCATGATGCTTTCGCAGCAGTGCTGTCAATGCTGACATATTTGTTTGTTCATATATCGATTGTATTCTCTACTCATCTTCAACATTCTGACATAAAGGGAAACTGTCTTTCTTCATCAGCACGAATTATATTAATTCTGTAACAGATAGAGGTGATTGGAGCAGAAAGTCAAATTACATCTTCCCACAAATACTGTATGTGTATTTACAGTATTCTATATTTTGTACCATTTAGTTTTGTCTTTTTGTACTTAAGCTTATGGAGGTTTAAACAGATGGACACATACAGGCTACACAGTTGCTATAATTTTCATTGTTGTAAGTATTTTTTATATAAATATATATACATGTGTGTGTGTGTAGACAGCATCCTTTAAACCAAGAAACCTAAATATCAAGGATTCCTTTTAAAAACTGTTTTTGTTTTCTTTCAATAAAATGAATCCCAGTTCAGTTGTTGGGAAGACGTTTCAGCTATTCCAATATGGGTGACAATAATGTCTTAGCAATGTTCAAAAGGCAAAATGTAGCTAATAAATCCTAGATTTCATATGTTGTATATGTAAAATGGATGGAACTCACTATAAGCTCTTTCTGACTGTAAAACCTCAGAACTGCAGCTCTTGTAAAATATTGTTTACTTTCTGTATTAAATGTGAGCCAAATTTGCTTGGGCATTGCTTCAATCTTTGTGAAGGCTGTATACACCTGAATGCCTGTTTTGCTCACTTCACTTTTAGAAAAGAGGAAACAATCCACCAAAAAACAAGCATTCTTGTTTGTATGGCTTTCTACGCTTCAATGTATCACTAGTGTCTTTTATATTTTTAGCTTTATTGTGTGATTAAAGTTTTTTAAGCCATATGCAGATTTCTCTTGATGCTGTAAGGTTAGGTAGCTTAATGCCATTTTCATCATTTAACTGGTATAAAAAAATCTTTGTAACATAGTTGTTGTTGTTTTGTTATACCTGCTAATAGTTCATACACTTTTAACTCAAACACATCATGTGTTTTTTGTTTTTGTTTGTTTGTTTGTTTGTTTTTTAGCAGTACCTGTACCCTGTATTTCTACACAATAAAGTTTCTTAAATGGTCCTTGGCTTGGATGTACGGTTCTACAGAAATCCTTGAAATTGGTATAGAACTTCTGCATTATGAGGAGGTTCTTCACACTGGCATGTCATATGCCAAAAGCGGTCCCTAATAGAACCATTCATGGAAAGGTTCTCCATGGAACCAAAAGTGGTTCCTCTATGGCATCAGAGCCCTTTTTGATACCTGTATTTTTAAGAGCGTACCCTAGGAGCGGCCTACAGAACCATCTGAAATACAAATACAACACAAGAGAATGAAGCTGGTGTTAAGCTGCATAACGTCACAGCTTGATTGTGACTTCCTAGTCATGACTTCCTACATACCTGACAGTGTGTAGCTGGAAGCTTTGGAAAGGGTATTTAGTGTTTCTATGAGGTAGAAATGGGCTGCTTTCACTCCTTCCTTTGAGAGGCTTAGGTGTAACACTGGGTTAACCCCTCAAAATCCCAGGCTTGTTACATACTGAGGCTTATTATTCTGTATGTACAGGGACCCTCAATGCAAGCTGGTTGAGCTATTGTTAGGTTATAGAAGTGTGTGATAAAACTTTGGGCCTGCTGGGGGGTCCTGGCCTTTTAAGGGGTTAAAACTAAACCCACCATATGGAGACTGTACTTTAGCCTGGCTCCCTCTCACGGTGGGTTATCTTCAAAATGGTTCTAAATTACCGCCAGCAAGACGGTGATTAAAATAACATGAGTGTGAATTCATTTATTTATACACAACTCAGAAACTGAACAAACCTATGATGAAAAAGTTACTTTCATGGTACCAAAATTGAATAGTGAATCTCAAGAATTTGTCTTACATTTGATATATAAATTTACAGAAGATCTTGCTGTGGTTGTGCAAGAATATCCATACAAGCATGTCATCACTGTCCAATGGATGTATGTCCATTTTTTCAATTTTTACTTTCTATGTGATTTGAGCAGCTGTCCTTTACATTGTGTCAAAATTTCCTAATAATTGGATTAATAGAAATCCTCCAAAATTGTTGGAATAAAACCTGTTTACATTGACTTCCATTGAAAGTAAAAAAATATATATTTCTTCCTGTAAATTTACCATTTTGGAGACACTGATTTACTTTGGACAGTATTGATATTCTACTTGAATCTCTTTAAATGTATTAAAAATCTAAAAACCCCACATTAGGTCGAGCCACACCCACAACCAGCCCCCCCTCCTTAACATGTGTTGCTAATACTTGCTTGAGACCACCATCCACTAGGGTCCTAAGGCAACATTCCTTTTCAGTTCTAGGTTGTTGGCAAACTCAGCTGTTCAACTCTTGTGCTTCTGACTTTTCTTTTCAGTGTAGATTTTCCTGAGTCTCAGTGATGCTTATTAGAGAAAGGGTTGTCACAGTAGAAGAGGATTTTGGGACTTGTTGCTTCTACTGTTAAAACGGGTAGTATAGTACTGTGCAAAAGTCAGAGACTACACTTTAATTCATTTCTAGTCAAAACAGTTGTTAAGCAAAAAATATTCATTTTTCAGCACTAGAAAAAAAGCCGTAAACATTTATCAGAAAACAGGCTTACACTGAAGCCTCAACAGCTAAATATAATATTTAATTTTTCTTTTTGGAAGACTTGCTTTCAGTTTTTCACAGAAATCTGAAGCGATGTCTTTCCACACTTTCATAGTTCAGTCTTAGAAGTTGGTTGCTTTCTCTGCTTTTCAAGTGATACCTAATCCATCCATAAAATCTTACTCAACAACTCAGATATTCGGTTTCTGTGTTCTTGCTTGTCGTTTTCCTTTTCTCAGTAAGGGCTTTTTGACAGCTACACACCCTCAGACTCACAGTGTTGAGTTGTCTTCTCACAGTGAAAAGATGGACAGAAACACCTGTGGATTTTTTCAGATCTGAAGCAAGAGTGGAGGCTGATTTTCTCTTCTCTCTCAAAGAAGAAAGTTTTAAGTATTGTTTATCTAATGGGGACAATTTTGGTGGTCTGCCAGGTCTTGCATGGTTATTAGGAGTCCCATTTTCTCTAGATCTCTTAATTTTTGAACTCCAGTTTTGGAAACCCCATTTTTTTTATTTACTTTCCTTTTGCTTTCTATGCAAGTGGATTATCTTATATCCAATCTCTTCAGAAATATCTCCTTTAGCACTTTAGATGCACATGAGAAAGAAATTTGTGAGGCAGTTAAGGAGTGTTTGGCTGGTTGCTCGTGTAAATGTTAGTGTTTCTTTGAAGGGTAACACAATGTCAATGAGGGCTTTGGGAACAGCTTTTGTTGGGAGGACGCAGCTATAAATGATTGGTTTTAAGATCAGAAGGATGAAAGATGTGAAGAGTGGACAAATTAGATACTGATAGATTCAATATTACACTTGGTGTGAGGCTTTTGTGTGATTTTTTTGTTTAAATATTTGCTGCTTTTTTCTGATGTTGAAAAATTAACTTGTACTTAATGGCTGTTTTGAATGGAAATGAAATAAACCAAATGGTGGTCTCAGACTTTTTTCCCATTTTGCAATACTGTACATGTACCTCTCATAACTCTAGTGCCTTTAGGCCTCTGAATTTCACTCTGTGGTCAACTATAATACTCTTTAAGGCATGCTCCAGGAGCAGTCTGGGATTACTGTCAATCTAACTCTATCTTGAGTTGATAGAGAATTTGACTCCTGCTGCTACCTCTTTTTCCTTTTCCACAGTTCATATTGCAGCGTATGTGCACTCCAGAACATGTTCCAGCTCTGCTTCCAGCACAGTTCAGTTCCAGTTAAATGTGAGGGAGAACAATCTCATACTGTTTCTATAATAAAAGCTTTGTCTGTTATCTAACAGACTCAGAGGGCTTTGGTCTATCCAGCCCTCAAACTATCTTCATGCCCTGCCACCTGCATGGATGCCTGCGGACACATGTTTTCTATTAACTTTATCTTAAGGAAAGACTTAGTTAATGCAAGACATATCAGCTACGATGAGGTGTAAAAATCCAGGTTATTTTTGGAGCATCTTTGTTTTGTGCTGTTGTATAACTCATCTTGAGCCATTATAAAAGGTGCGGTTATAAAAGGTAGGTTGCGTGCTTGCTCTCTGCTTTAAAAGAAAGGTATTGTGAGCATGTAAAAGAAGATAAAGCATGCTAGGTTTTGGTATTTAAGCAGAAGCTTTTAGTCAACAACAGTGCTGTATGTTGACACTGTATGCATTTTGTTATTTTTCTAAGTAATCAAAACTAATACTGTGGCAACTGCGGGGGCCAAGCACCATACGGTGATGCCTTGGAATTTTGAGATTACTGAAGATGGTTAAGAATTGAGTTGACAGCATTAGTGAGAAAGTAGCATTGGACAGGAAATACTAATGGTACAGTATGTGTCATGGATGTCCTTGATTACAATTCGCAACTCCACCAACAAATCCACTCGCATTTTAATCATGCTGGCAGTTTGGTGGGGCGTTCTTTCCCTGTCACGCGGGGTTGTCAGAGTTTTCCTGCCGAATTAGGCTGGGAAAGAGTGTGATAAGTTTGGTGGGTTGGTGGTGTTGCTGATAGCCAGCTTCAACCTACATCCTGAAGGAGGGCATGCATGCATGTAATAGAGATCTCTGGAAGTCAAAACTGGTAACTATCAATTAAAAAATTGTTTTAACAAGGACAAAAAGAGTAATACTAATAGAAGATTTAGTTGTTTTTTTTTATACCTTTCTTCAAACATTTACATTTGAATACACATTTTGGGCCAGTTTCAGCTTCTGGTGGATTTTAAGCAAACTTTGTGCTCCCTGGTATTCGGAAACACCAATTCGGCATGAGGTTTAGCTGACTTCATTTCAGGATTTTTTTCTTGTGTGTTTTAAATTAAAATTTTATTTTCACTTGGTAATATTTGAAATGATCATTCACTTCATTTTCCTGGTGTGTAATTTGTTTGTAACATTGTGGCATCAGCGTGGAGTAAGACACAGGGCAGGCCATGACATCCACCACAACAAGTGCTTTTTATTAAGCATCAGGGCAGAAAAGAACATACAAAGCACTGAACTCACAGGGGAGGTCACAACTAGCCACAGGCTTCAACCTCATGTTAGACCAACCCCTAACACAAAACACACAAACTAAACCCACACCCTGGCACAAAATAACAAACCTCCCGAGCTTCTCAGAGGCAGCTCCAGCCAGTAGCAGGTCGCTGCAATATTTTGAGACAAGAGTAGTGTGAAGTGATCACATTATCCACTTTGTCTCTCAATTTGTTCGGCAGTTTATAAGCATTCTAAGCAAAGTTGACTGGCATATGCTTTGAATTGCTTGAGGGGGCGTGGAGAGGCGCCATCACTGTATGACTTTTAATAAATACAATATAACTGAAACTGTACAATAATGAAAACTGAATTCATTATTAATCATTTTAATATGTTCACACAATATGTTCAACACTTTTTTTTGGCCCCCCAAATGGCACCCGTGTCCGTGTGTGTCAACCGTTCATACTCATTTAGAACAATTCTAACATTAAAATCAAATGTTTTTATCTTTATCGTCATGTTTTTATCTGGTAATCATACGCACATCATACTGATTCAGAAATGTAGTTTTACTTTTAAGAGTTAACAGCTAAACAGTCTCCCATCCACAGTTAAATATACATACAAACACAGTCAAAAGCATTGAATGAGAGAGAGAGAGAGAGAGAGAGAAAGAGAGAGAGAGAGAGAAAGAGAGGAGAGTCCTGAGATGGATTCTGTGCTCTCTTCTCTCTCTCTCTCTCTCACTGACTGCCTTTGATTGTAATTGTATGTGTATTTAACTGACAGAATAAAAGCCTGATGATGTAGTGTCATGTGTAAGGTGAGATTGAGGGGTATCTTTGTCATTTTTAAGTAAGTTACACTCCTGCAAACACAGTTACAGTTAAATTATGACAACATTGTGACAACCTATCATTTTGGTGCCAATAACGTTGTCACAGTGTTGAAATCTAATTCCTCAGAATGTTGTGACAACGTTATCCGACAACATTGTGACAA